GTGGTCACTCTCCAAAGATGCTACGTCCAATGGGAAAGGAGGAGTTGGAGGGGAGGAAACAGCTGCACAGATGGACTAACGCTTTTCCTTTCTTCTCTGAATGGTGATCCTAAAATCATCCTACTTCCCAGAAGATGGACCCTGTAGAACTAAACTGATGACCTATTTTTCGATTTTATCAAGCAGCAGATACATCAGTTAATGCTGCTGTGCTCCAGGGTTGGGTAGCGAGGCTGGAATTAGATTTATAGATTACCTGCCTCCAGCCGTGCGAGGCGTCTGCAACGCTTCGTTTCCCCTCCCGCCCCGGCACTGCCTGCTCTCGCCGCGCCCTTCCTGCCATGCCTCCCTCTGTCCTGTGCTCCTCTCTGCCCCCAGCTTTCCTCCCACTGTGAGCTGGGCCTCATCATCATGAAAAACGCAGGCATCCTGGGCCCCAAATGGAAATAGGCCCTGAGAGGAGCAGGTGTGGGGCTTTGATTTCCCACAGGCTCCTGAGAATGAATCTCCCTGTTCCTCTGCATGTTGCAGGGGCAGAGTCTGATCACAGTCCCCTAATCATGTGGTGACTTTCTGTGAAGTATAGTCAGGTGACATGTAGGAAATAAATGACTCCTGAAAGGGTCTTGAGGCTGGTTCCAGAAAATACTTTTTCTTCTAACATTGCCTTCTATTCACATTTATTTGATTGTCCTCAGGAGATCTCTGATCACAAATGAATGTCCCCAGGAAGGCATAGGCCATGCCTTGCTCTGACATGAGAGGGTGGCTACAAGGACAGTGAACAAGAGATCATGTACACACAGGATGACTAGATCTCTCCTGCCACTCCCTAATGGTTTTGTTCCAGAAATACTTATTCATGTTTTTCATTCAACCAGCATTTACCAGGTGCTCACCATGCTAGGTACTGGTGTTTCAAAACACAAGGCATAACCCATACCCTCAAGGAGTACATGGGCCCCATGGTCTACATCAGTTGTCTGCCACCCCCACACTGGAGAAACAAAAGCCACGACTGCCTAATGACCACACTAGGTGAAATGCATGTGCTTGCTTGGCAAAGGCAGCTTCAGTACTGAGCAAAATGCAGTATTCTCATCGTGTCCCCTGGCTCCCTTTACACACTGCAGCCCCTGTGCTCTGAATGCTGGAGCCACCACGCAGCTGCTGCTAGATTAGCAAACAGGTCCACACTTACTTTGGCCTTCATATACCACGTTCCGCTATTCCGTCAGCCTACCCGCCTGCTCCCCTGCCTGTCTAGCAAATTCCTCATTCTCCAGTATCAGTACATTCTCCCTCCTCTTTGAAGCCTTCCCTGGTTTCCCCAGGAAGGTTTAGGTTCTTCTTCACTTACAGTACCTCTGTACTCCACTCATGGAAGTATAATATAATATAATACGATATGATACGATACGATACGATACAATACAATACAATATAATATAATGTAATGTAATATAATATGGGCAGATGACTGCTAGTAGTTTTGGGCACTCAGATCCTCAGGGGCAGGGACTACATCTGTGGCAGGTGGCATTCTCTAAGATGGGCATAACAATATGTCCCATCTCTTATGTATAAGAAGACATTGGGTGGCTTTCTCCCCATCAACATGTAGAGCCTGTTTTCTCCCCTTGAATCTGGGTTGGCCTGTTCCTATGGTGAAGGGACACCATGTGAGCTCTGAGGCTAGGTCACAAAAGTGATACAGTTTCCCCTTTCTCCTCTTGGGATTCTTGTTCTTGGGACCCAGATTGCTTTAAGGAAGCCCAAGCAGGCACCAGATGACCCCAACATCAACAGCCTGACACAGGAGTGAATGAGCCTTCAGACTATTCCTCTGTCCTTGAGCCACTTCAGCTGACTCCACATGGAACAGAGATGTCCCTACCAAAGCCTGCCCAAACTACAGATTCATGAGCAGAGTAAATGGCTGTTGTTGTTGTACACTAAAGTATTGGGGTGATTTGTACACAGCTTTGGAACAAAGTTTCCTTCATTTCTATAGGCCCAAAGCCCAGCACAGGCCCTGGCCAGAGCAGTCACCCTATCAGTGTGTCAACAACCAACTGTACGAATGGTTCTTTGATCTGCAGCCAGAGTCACTGTTCAGGAGCTTTGGTGATGTGGGTAGCCCAGTACTGGGTATCACCCTGAAGTCCTTACTCAGAAGGCTTTGTCCTATTCCTTGATGCTGCCCATTGGACCCTCTGGTCTCAGGCTTCTCAGCTGCCCCCAGCTGAGCCTCTTGGTCTGAAGCAGGTCCTGTTCCCTAGCCTGTGCTCAGTCACATCCACTCCCCAGACATTAGCACCTTGGCCGTTTTTACTCGCCCCTCATCTAAGTGGCTCTGTGATATCCCATAGAAATAAAAGTCATTGCACTGTGAGCCTGGCTCCTTTTGGGGCATGTTCTGACGATGACCTTTTACAAGTCTGCCAGCCAAACAACCTTCAGGTACTGCTCCCTGCTGCAGGTTGATTGGGAGTCTTCATCAACCCTGGAAAAGACTTGTGGATGCTTATGACACAGTCTTCCCTTCCCTGCCCAGAAGTGCCTCCTCAGAGGGTAGGTGACCTGAGTTTCAGAAAAGGACAGCCCATCTTATCTCTGAACCCACAAATGAAAAGAGCCAGCAGGGAGGGCGGCTGTCCTGGCGAAAGGCAGAAACGGCTGTGGGCCACGTATGCAGGGATCACATGGCTGTGCAGTGGTGGAAGTCACTGCGATCTCTGTGATTCATGCAGATGCCAGTGGCCATTCTTCACCCCCTGTATTCATGTCATTGACCCAACACACATTTTTCAAGGTCCTACTCCACACCATCTCCTTCTGAGGTGTCCATAAGAGCTGCTTCATTTTCTCCTTTTGGCAACAAATCTCTGCTAACATCTCCAATGCCCACCCGCATGGGATCAGGAGATCCCTGAAAGTTATCCTCCCGAGACCCTTCTCCCCAGCCACCCTTCACCTGCGTCCAACAGTGCTAACATCACCCACGCCCCTTAGCTGCTCTTACCCTGAGGAAAGAATCCAAAGCACCATTCTCCATGAACTCTGTGATGATCATGACGGGTCGACTCTTGGTGACCACGCCCTCCAGGCGAATGATGTTGGGGTGGTCAAACTGGCCCATGATGCTCGCCTCACTCAGAAAGTCCCGACGCTGCTTTTCCGAGTACCCAGCCTTCAGCGTCTTGATGGCCACGTAGATTTCCCTCTTGCCCGGCAGCTTCAAACGCCCTTTGTACACCTCTCCAAACTCTCCTGCAACAGCAAGCATGCATTATTATCCTCTTCCTTCTCAATCTGTGGCCACAGGGGAAAACATCTTCCCAAGAACAATGGTGCTCAAGGTGCAGAAATGGGACTCGTGCTCTGTCACTGAAACTGGGATGTCATGGTTGTAATCGGTTCACGGCAAATGCGAAGGGAATATTAAAATGTGTTCCGTATCTCAGTTCTCAGAAACAGTTAGGGGAACTAAAGTGGAATTTCAGAATACATACAAGTTTGTTTTTCCCCATGTTTAGCTTTTCATGTGTGTCCCAGCTGAATAATTGAACTGAAATGGCCAGTTTTACGTTGGCAGAGTCATAATTCATTTTTAGTAGAGCCTGGCATGAGGACATCCAGGAGACAGGGGATATGTTCAGGGTCTTTGGCCCTCTGAATGAGATGTGCACTGTTCATGTTCCATCATTGCTGTGAAAGCATTTGTATCTATTGGGTCACCCAGAAAGCAGACAGTGAGGAGTTAGGAAGAAAAGAGGTTTATTCGTGAAAGATAAAAGTGGAAGAAAGCAGGATTGGGCAGGGAGAGCACCAGATCATGACGCAGATCTCACAAAGTCTCAGCCAACCCAATGGGGAGCTGTGGGGCAAAGAGCTCCCATTGCAGAAACAGCCAGGCCCTAACACCACCACCATGCTCAGAAACTGGCTGGGGGCTGCCAGGAAGAGCAGGGCTTCTGCAGGAAAGCTGAGGCCACCCCTGAAGGTGCTGCAGCTGGAGGCTGTGGGCTTACTGCACTGCTGGCAGCTGATCCAGGAGCTACTTCTCCAAGTGGAAGCAAGCTGCCCACCTCTATGGTGCTGCAGGATTTAAACATTTTCACAGCAATGTCACCAAAAGTAAAAACAATTCTGGTGACACTCTTTCGTAGCTGCCTAAAAACATACTCTGTTGAATGTTTAATGTACTTTCAAAAGTTATCTTATGATTTAACTTGGCTCTGTAACTTCCAGTTCTTTCATGTGAAGCAGTTAAGAATCTACGTGTGAGTGCACCGCTGAATGTGCGTCAGAGGCCTGACAGGAGAAACACGGTTTTCTGCTGGGAAAACTTTCTTTTTCACTTTCAGCTTCTGGAAGAAACGGATGGAGCAAACTGTGAGCAATCAGATAAATTACTGGCCGCATTAGAAAGGCAAGTTAGCATGCCTCTGTGATTTAGATGGGGGTTCCTTTTGTTTTCTGCCGACAGAAAGAGCAGAAGGAAGCCACCTGAAAGGACTTTTATGCAAAACTGTCCCAGAGTCAACAGAACTTGATAGAACTGGGCCTGCAGTAGAGTTTGGCTTAGGCACCATTAGGAAGATTTCAACCTGGACCTAATACTCAGATAGTTCTCATTTGTAACATTGGTCTGATAATGAACTGCATGCTGCTTTGGGGAACCGCCTGAGCTCAGACCAAGTCTTACGTACGTCCTTAGCTTGCACATCCATGCAGTGCCTGGTGCATGGCAGGCACGCCTGTCAGACTTGGTGCATTGTATTTATTATTACAGGGCTTTGCCTTGTCCAGTCCTGGATTATAAACTGATGGAGGCTGTATCCCTGCTTTATCCAAAAAAAGTGGAAGTACCAGTGGTTGAATTTGTATGTAAAAGAATGTTTACTGCTGCACCATCTTCTATAGACAAACACTGTATGACCCTAACCAGGGGAGTGGTTGGAAAGCAGCACATCTTTCTTGGGGAATGCCAGGAGCTATTGAAACTAATAGATGGGTGACACATCCTGACTTAAAAGATGTCCACATCATATTGCTAAGTGAAGAAGAGAGAAAAGCAAGTTATAGACTGTGATATGCACAGTGTGCCCATATGGGGGGTGTGTATGCAAAGAAATTACGGAAAAATCCATATCAGATTTATTTCAAATTATTTTTAAAAATGATTACTCTAGAAGGGTGGGAGTGGGAGGGGGAGAAGTAGAGATCAGTAAACTAAATTTAGTTAGTTTAATGTTGTTTAAGTTGTTATAATAAGCATTACTTTGGTAGTTAAAATAAGTAAAATGTAAAGCAAAGCATGGGAAATAGGGACCTGTCATATATATGTATGTAATATATGTGTGTATATACGTCTGTGTGTCTCTATAAATGTATGTATGTATATGTGTGTATATATGTATGTATTTATGTATACAGTATACTTCAAAAAGTTCATGAAAAGATTTATATTACTTTTTTTAAATTTTTTTATTTTTTTGTCTTTTTCCGTGTCCGGCAACGGTTCGCAACCCTCAGTGTCGCCCC